TTTTTTTAATACTGCACTGACTTATTATTTCCTGCTTTTCTTGCATTTTTGTGCCCATGTTCGTTAGTAGCTCTGAGTGTGAAGTTAAAAAGGCAGCGGTTAAGTCTTGCATCATGTTTTCCTGTGTCAGACCAAAACATGTCATGAAACTGCTGTTTTCTAGTCAGCTTCCCTCAGGATGCGGAGCTGGCCTGTGAGCAGTGGGGCTGTGGTGCTGCACTTCCCAGGCTCTCTGGTGTTGACAGCAGTGGGATCTCTCCGGGGCCAGCTGACTGTCAGGCTGGCTCTTCTGCACTGGGGCTCAGAACCCCCTGCTCTAAATTCTTATGTGCTCTGTATCAGTAATATCTCTGGAAGTATCAGTTTGAGTGTTAGCACTCCCTGTCTTAAATCCATTTTCAAGTCACTGGTGTATACACGTTCAGTTACTGGTAGTGTTTCAGTGATCGTTCAGTTATTCCAAACAGTGCAGCTCCAATGGGAAAGGTTTGCTGTGCCCATCTGCTCTTCTCAGTTCTTAATCCAGAAGAGGGAGCAGTAGGAAGGGAAAGCAAGGTGCTGCCTTAGCGATATCATAGCAACATAAAGCTCTGGGTCTGCAGCTTGGCTTTGTACTCAAGTCCTGACTAACATGCTTGTCTGAAATGATGCAGCCTTTCCTAGTCATGTATGTACTGAAGACTTACTTTCTTTACACCAACATCCTCATACATGATACATGTGATACAGGTATTGTGTATGAATCCACTGAACAGCAGAGTTAAACTTGCCATTAGACTGTGGTTTCATGATACCAAGTGTTTTGGCAATATCTAGTCTAGGTTATTCAGCCTGGTGTGTCCACATTTTGTCCAGGTATACATCAGCTCCACAGTTACAGTGGCAGGTCTGCTTGGGGATTTCTGTGTGAAGTGGAGGAAAGAATTTATTTGCCTTAAAAAATACCCCAAAAATCTACAAACAAAACCCAAACACTGTGTGTGTGTGTGTGTTTATTTGTTTTTATAACTTCTATAAGCTTTTCCTGACTTACAACAGCTTGGCTCAACAACTCGGTGTACCTGCTCAACACAGGAGGCATACTGCTGCAGTGCAGAGGGGGAGGAGAGGGCAAATACTTCGGTGTAACACACTGTACAGAGGTACAGCTCCAGCTGGAGCCTGGCGCCTGAAGGTTCCAAGTGGCAAAATCATGTGGTAGGGCTGCCACAAGCCTCTTCTGTGCTATGACACATGCTGGGTCTTGAGAAAGGCAGGGCCTAGAAGTCATTCTGTAACCATTTCGTTTATATTCTAGTTATTTTAAGAGATGCTTCACCTTTTAAAGCTGAACAGCTTTTCCAATATGTATTCTTTCCTTGTGGTCGCACTGGTTTGCGATCTGACCTCTGCTTTTCTTTAAGAACACTGGGATTTGTTTGGGGTTGGGTATTTTTTCCTACTTTCGTAGTTTCAGCCTCCCAACAGCAAGAAAATAGAACTTTGAATAACCATTCTGAGAATTCTGTCTAAAAGGTTGCATTCAGAACCATAAGGTAACAGAACAGACTATTCACTTAGAAGGGACCTATAATGATCACCAAATCCAGTCACTTCAGGGCTGGCCAAAAGTTAAAGCATATTATTAAGGGCATTGTCCAAATGCCTCTTCAACAGTGACAGGCTCGGGGCATCTACCACCATGTTAGGAGGCCTGTTCTAGTGTTTGACCACCCTCTCGGACAAGAAATGCTTCCTAAAATTCAGTCGAACATTTCCCTGATACAGCTTTAAACCCAGATACCAGGGAGAAGAGATCAGCACCTCCGCCTCCACTTTTCCTCCTCAGGAAGCTGTAGAGAGCAATGGGCTCACCCCTCAGCCTCCTTGTCTCCAAACTAGACAAGCCTAAAGTCCTTATCTACTCCTGTGGACATTTCTTCCAACCCTTTCACCAGCTTTGTTACTCTCCTCTGGACACATTCAAGGACCTTCACATCCTTCTTAAATTGCGGGGCCCAGAGCTGCAAATAGTGCTCCAGGTGAGGCTGCACCAATTCATCTCAGTGGTTGTGCTGTGTTTGGTGCACCCCAGGATGCAGTTTGCCCTCGTGGGTGCCAGATACAACGAGGTGACCTGCCTGGTTGATGAGGGAAAGCCTGTGGACATTGTCTAGTTGGACTTCAGTAAAACATTTGGCACTGTTTCCACAGCTTTCTCCTGGAGAAACTGGCTGCTCATGGCCTGCATAAGTGTATTCTTTGCTGGTTTAAAAACTGGATAGATGGCTGAGCCCAAAGAGTGGTGTTGGATGGTGTCACATCTAGTTGGCAACCAGTCACTAGTGGTGTCCCTCAGGGCTCAGTGTTGTTTAATATCTTCATTGATGATCTGAATGAGGAGATTGAGTGCACCCTCAGTAAATTTGCAGATGCCACCAATTAGACTGGGAGTGTTGATCTGCTGGAGAGTAGGAAGGCTCTGGATCTGGGATCTGGACAGGCTGGACCAATGGGCCAAGGCCAGTGGTATAAGGTTCAAGAAGGCAAAGTGCTGGGTCCTGCATTTGGGCCACAACAGCCCCATGCAGCACTACAGGCTCGGGGAAGAGTGGCTGGAAAGATGCCCAGTGGAGAAGGACCTGGGGGTGCTGACTGATGGCTGAACGTGAGCCAGCTTGTGCCCAGGTAACCAAGAAGACTAACAGTATCCTGGCCTGTATCAGCAATAGTGTGACCAGCAGGGCCAGAGCAGTGATCATCCCCCTGCACTGGCACTGGTGAGACTGCACCTTGAAGCCTGTGTTCAGTTCTGTGCCCCTCACTACAACAGAGATATTGAGGTGCTGGAGCAAGTCCAGAGAAGGGCAACGAAGCCGGTGAAGGGTCTGGAGAACAAGTCCTGTGAGGAAGGGCTGAGGGAACTGGGGTTGTTTAGTCTGGAAAAGGCTCAGGGGCGACGTATGACTCTCTACAACTGCCTGAAAGGAGGTTGTAGTGAGCTGGGGGTCTGAGCTCTTCTCTGTTCCTCCTTTCATCTGCATTTTCTCTTTTCCGTGTCTTTCAGGGAATTTCATTCACAGACTTCTTATTAGATCTTGGCCTCCCTCCTTACCCTTTCCCTTCTTTGCCTCTAGAATCTGTGTATAGCAATTCTCATTCCTTCCTTTCTACTCTTTCCTGTGGCTCCCTACCATGATCCATCACTGTATCCTCACCTGTGCTGATTACAAGTCTCAGTCAGTACCAGGACCATATTAATTTTTAATACCCATTTTCCCAAGTCTCTTTCTCTACCACTTCTTTTACCATATCCAATGACTTTTCCTTCCACAGGCTTTAAATGCCATTTTCCCTTCGTGAACCACTCTCTGTTCTCTTATTTTGTTTCTGGTTAGTCCTGCTTAGACTGCAGTTCCATGAACAAACAGTTCTTTCAGGGGAGTGCTGGGTTTTGCAGTGTTATTTTTATGCCTCTTTAGTTCCCTGAGCCAGTTTATTGCATAGCCCACGCAAAGAGTTGTGCTGTCAAAACGGAGAGGAATTGGGATAGAAAGCATGTGTGTTAACCCTGATGTTAGCCAACATGTCAGTGGGACCAGTCTTCTACCTTCAATAGTTTTGGTTTTATGAGTTCTTTCCAGTTCACAAAGCTGCTCCCTATCTTTCTCTTTCTCTGCAGTGTCAGACTCCTCAAACTGCATCTCAGTTTGCTCCTTTCAGTCCAAGGCGTTCTCTTACTTGTCTGCATTCAGAGCAAATGAAGCTCTGCTTTTGCGATACCAGGGCAGCAAGTGGCTGGAGAAAGCCATTGTGCAGGCTTTGTCTGGTTTGTAAGTGCTCTTTATCCAGTGGTGTTTCTTATACCAAAAAGGGAGACTTCTTAATAGCAGTCTTTATTCCTACTTATCCATTGATATGTTGGTTCCCTCTCATCTTGAACTTACTTTACCTTTATAGGCTGGGGTGTTGAGGGGTTCTTTTCTTTCTTAGTGCTGAAATGGATTTGTATGTCCTGGTTAAAGTTTTTCCCGTTAAAACAGAAAACAAAATAAGTGGCAGATCTGTCTGGATGCTTTGTAACTAGTAGACTGACCTCGTTCTGTGTCCTGTGCTAAAGATCAGTAAAAGCTTTATGAAGCTCACTTGAAGGACTTAATTTCTGCTTGGCCTTTGTCAACTAACAATGGAACCGTAGTCTGTATCAGGTTTTATTCTGAACCATCAAAAAGTCGTAGTTCTTTATCTGGAGATGTAATTTCCTGGTACCCTTCATTTATGTGGTTTTATTGCACCTCATCTTTTCATCTAACCCTTGACTGTTCAGAAAGCTAACGATGTCTTTTCTCACCAAAGCATCTTTCTGTCCTGTCAGTCTTGGACTTGGTGCTTGAAATATTAAAAGGAGGAATGGTGTCTGTATTTCAGGATGCTAAATCTTCAGTAGGATCAAATCTCCATTATATCACATCGCTGTTTGTGCTGTCTGTGTAAATTGGTGCTGGCCCTGGGTCTGGGAAGGCCTCTTATTTGGGACCATTGCTGGTCTTTGCTTACTCCAGCTGGCTCTGTTTTGATTGAGCCTGTGAGGGTGTTTGTGTTAACACAGTGTCTCATTTGGGGTGCATTTGGTGTTAGCATCAGTGGCTAAGCTACTTCTGGACCCAGTGTACATGGCACTAGATCCAAATAAGTCTGTAAAGAGCTGTGCCTGCTTGTGGGGACAGTGCCAGAAACAGCTCAGGCCTGTTAGCAGTGTTAGCATCTCATTTTTTCCTTTGCTGGGATATTCCCCCTCATTACTCCAGAGCGTAAAGGGTTAACTGGATGATGAGAGCTCCATCCACAGCCCCAGCCTTCTGCTAGTAGTGATTCTTTGAAGTCTGATTGCCTAAATCATCCCTTTTTTCAGCAGAGTACTGTGAAAAGTCTGTGGCTGCTGTTCGTGCTCTGCTGAACTGGGAATAACCTTAATTGTTAAACCATTCCTAAAGCAGGCTGGCAATTAAATTCTACTAATCTGTGGTCTCCCATGCTGTGTATGTACAAATGGGGTGATTCTTCACCAGTAAGATTCAAACGCTTTATTAAGGTGGTAATTTCTTCTCAATATACCAGTTTATGCCATATGTATTGTAAATCAGTTGCTAGATAAAATGGCTTTCTAGTCCTATTCCAGAAGACACTTGTGCAGTAATGCATTAGTAATGTACTAATTTAATTAAGGGGCGGTTGTTCATTGAAATATGGTGTTTAAAATAGTAACTTCTGGAAGTTTGTTTATAATAATAATAATAATAATTACTATTATTATTATTGTCTTCTCTAAATGCTAGACAGAACAATGATTGAATAACTTCATTCCAGGTAGATAGATGTTTTGGGAATACCAAAATTGATCATACTTTTTGAAATGTTTATAAGTATCCTAAATTCTGGGATATTCAGTTGCAGGACCAGCATTGCCTCCAGGCTATAAAAGCAGCTGTAGCTCAGAAACTCCTGACAGCGACGATGACTCAGAATCAGTTCCTTTACCCAGAGGTGCAGACAGAGATTCTGAAGAAGAGATAGAAGGAGATCCAGCACCCAAGTGAGTATGTTCTTAGGTTATTTGTATATTCACATTGTATTGCAAATGGAATGTTTCTGTATAAATTATGAGACAGGGACAGTATTATATAAATAAAAATTTAACCCCTGTATCTGTGTAAAACTTCATGACATGTTCTGCATGTTCTTTGTGATTAAGAATGTCCAGCTAACCTGTTTGATACCCTACAGTGGAATTAAGTTATTTAGGGCAATCAGATCTCTGTCTTTATATTAATTCTGCCATTAAAATAATAAAATCCTTAATGTTTTGCTTGGTTTGTGCTAAGGTCAGACACCACTTATTGTATACGTACTTGGTACTTGAGTTTTGCCCTGTTTCTGGTATACTATCTCTCACTGAAAGGTCATAAGAACTATTTGTGGGCATGAATTTATGCCCATAAGTCAACTCTAATGAAAAAACATGAGTTGTTTAGCAAATAACAGGAGTCTGCGTGTACTCTTATTTGGTGGGGTTGATTACTTACAACTGCTGTGTTAAGAACTTGTGTGTGTTTGTGCTAGGCCTTGTATACGGGACTTTAAGGGTGTTACGCCATCTTCGAGTGTTAGAGTAATTATTACTCTTTTTTTGTCTTACTCAACAGTTTTTCAGTTAATTAGAACTGAACTGGGAAAATTACTAGTCAAAATGCAGACAATGTATAAAAATGCAGAAAAAAGTGTGTTGAATTTAAAATACTTTGTGACTGGAAAATGGTATTTCAACATTATACTGCTCTTCCTTCTACAGCAAAAGCGTTCTTAATGTTTTTTCAAATGTCAGAGCGTTTTTGGAGTGAAGCTTATGCTACCAATTTTTTAATTGCTTCAAATTATTTTGGATCCTTTTGCACTGTTTCCTTGGTAACAGCAGGATATTTAGTACATAAGGCTGTTTGAAATAATTTTATGGGCTTTTTTTCCCTTTTTAAAATGCTGATAATTGCTGTGCATGTCCAGGTAATTATTGAGTGAAATCTTTGTATTTGCAGAAAGCCAAAAAGAATTCAGGAAGATGATGATGATGGCTTTTTCGGGCCTGCTCTTCCTCCTGGATTTAAAAAACAGGATGATTCTCCAGAGAGGTAATTAAAGTGGAATTATTTTCAGACTCTTTTCCTTGAAACATGATTATTTAAGGTAAAATATTTTATTGCACTATTACAGAACGCTTCCAATTGTGCACTTCAAGTTCAGATTATTAGAATTGCTTCCTCCATATTCTGAAAACAGGAACTGCATTCCTTTGAAATAGAACACACTGTCCTCCTAGTCCTGAGTGGAAGGTTGGAGAGAAAAAGAAGAAATATGAATTGTCAGAGTTAGAAAAAATTTGACATTCAAAATCTGTAGGTCTTGGATCAGTGCAGAAAAAAACAAGGACTCATAGTTCTGTGTTTGATTCTGGGCTGAGTGAATAGGGCAGTTAGCTTTTGTGTGGCGCAGTGCAATGCAGGTTATTGGAGTTGTCATTCACTAACGCATCAGGGGTTATTTTTGTGTTTCCAGGTACAAAACTAATCTGAACAGTGTAGCTTTCTAGAAAGCAAGTGCTCGGGTCTAAGCAAATAAGCATTATTTATAGCCTCTATCAGGAAGCTTTCTGTTAGTTTGAATGCAGTTATAAAATACTTCCCTTCTCCCCAAAAAAAACTCCCAAACAACTGTTTATGGATTTTCTATGCAGAACTTAACCATATCTCACAGCATTCCAGTCTTTACATCAATCTGTGCTCTTCCTTCTATAATTTGAAATGATAATCCATAGCGAAATTGGTACTTCCAAGGGGAGGCTTATTAATGAAAGGTACAAGAAAGTCCCTTGATCACTATTACTTTCCTCAGAGCAATAAAGAGCTGATTGATAAAATAGATTAATACTTAACTATCAGGTGCGAGTTTTCAGTTCTAGGAAAGGGACTCAATTTGTTGTTGAGCTGTGTAAGTATCCTTTCTGTATCTGTTAGCTTACATTTTGCAGTAACTGACCAACTCTTCTAATTGTGGCTGTCATGCTCATTGAGTGCTATGGTGGTCCCAAGGGTAATATTTTTTCTTTTTGTTCTGTTTCACATGCATAGTTGTTGAACATAAAATCTAGGAAATCACTAAAATAATGTGATCTCTAATAAAGCAAATAAATGGTTGTAGCTTTTAATATAAGCAGTGGTAGCCTTGCTTTCTTGATTTTTGACAGGAACACTCCTGTGGTAAAATGTTACATCAAAGCGTGCAAAGGAAAAGAGGAAGAAAAGAGGCAGTTTGTAGTTTGGAGGTTAGAGAGATGAACAGTAACACAGGTGGTGACCCATCATGTAATGTTTTGGGGGGGGCGGATGTTTGTTTTGTTTTTTTGGTATATTCACACAACTTTTATTTCTATTTAGCAGTTTATTTCAATAATGTTGGGTAACTTGCATTTACATTCAGAGGGCATTTACATTCAGAGGGCAGGACTCTGCTCTGTGTCTATGAGTGTGAGAGATTAAAGGAGTAAAAGGCACTTGCTAGGGTTTTTTTGTCCTAGCTCACTATACAATTGCTCCTAGCATACACAGAAAGCAGATTGAGCGGAGCCATTGTGAGCCCTGAATAGGAGGGAAAGGTGTGATGTGTGGGAAGAACCCTGTCTGTCTTCCACTCCCATACACCTGGGAGTCTGACACACTGAGGCATGTAAGCTGTGCAGCGTGTAGACACAATGCTGTTGAGTGTCTCCCTGCTGCATTGCTTCTAGCATTGAGCAACTTGCTAGCTCATCATCTAGCTATGAATAATTGAAGCAAATGCCAGCTGTTTGTTTTAATGTATAGACATAATGTTTATTAGCTCTGTGTGACATACTCATTCTTTTAGAAAAGCTTTTGTTCTGTTACATCTTACCCAGACTTGCCAGAGCAACGTATTCATGAATAGGAGCAGCTCATGTGGGAATTCACAGCTTGTTAAAAATTGTTTGAATCATTCAGCATAAAATACATCCATGAACAGTTTTCCTTCAACTTTGGAAAGGATATTGCTGTTTAGCAATGTTAGACATTGCTAAGGTGCATTGTTAGAAGTACAGCACTCACTCCTAAAGTATTCACACATCAAGGTTATCTTGAAGAATGTTGTTATACAGAGGCATGCTGAAATGCCCATCTTGAAACATGCGTTAGCAAGGACTCCAAGTCCAACAACAGGAAAGAGTTTTTTGCCATATATGAAATCCAGTATTCCTTAAATTAGAGCTTAATTCATGCTAAGTTCTTTTGGGGGTGTTTTTTTAAACATGTATAGGTAGGTACCGAAGTTGCCAACAGCAGCAGAACGTGTTTAACAGAGTTTTATTTAGATTCATTTCACCTGTTCAGAGAGCCTTTGGACATCCAGGAAACTGTCAAGGATCATGTTGGCTGTGTGTTGCCGAGGGAAGACCCAGGCACAAGGGTTATTCATGTGGAAAACAGGAAAAAAAAAAAAAGCATAGAAATGGAAAGTGTGGGAGGGATGAATATGGGAACTGTTTTTCCATTCCTTGGAAGAGCCTTTAGGCTGCGACAGAAGCAAGGCAGAGTATTTGAGATCTGCTCTTTTTCACAGGTTGCACAGTTACAGCCCACAACATTGATGTTCTCATATATTTTGGTAGAAAGCTTTTTTTTATAGTTTGGTTTAACTGTCTCTCGTTCTCCATTCATACTTGTATGCTAAAATAAGATTATTTTGGCCGTATCTGCATAGGTTTAAATTCAGCCTCTTGAAATTATATTGGGACTTTAAAATATGGTCTTAACAAGAAAGCAGTCAGAGAGAAACAAAGGAAAATAAAAGCTGCTTCTTTTTCGTAGCAGCTAGGTGGGGGTGGAACTTCAGATTTCACCCAGACCTCTTGTGTGGGTTTGAAACCGCACCAGCGCCCTTGTCCTGGGCTGAGCTCACATTTATTGCTTGTGTCTGTCTGTCTGCAGCTGGCTTTCTGGCAGGACTTCCTGCTTTTTATTTCCCCTCTTCAAATCCTGACAATAATATCGCTACAACAGGGTTGTACTGATTAGATTATGCAGGATTTAGTAGAAGATCATAATTAGCATAATTCAGTTCATGTTGTGTTATGTTTGATCTCCCTAAAGCTCAGAAACTGAAGATCAGTAAAGTCTCTGCTGATCATTGTGAGGATACTGCCACTTGGATATATGTTCAGGTGATAATTGTTTGGGGCTTTAGTTAGGTTTAAAGAATATGTTGAGGGATTATTAAGAGGAACTTGGACAAAAAAAGTCTTTCAGTACTGCAGACACAGTCTGTAGTATACTTTGATCTGTTTTCACGTCTGAAAAGAGATTCTCACTTTTCTGTGTTCCTGGAGACAATTGAATTATCCTGCTGGCAGAGCTGTGGCAAAAAACCAAACCAGTGAAGTTACTTGGGATCACAAAACTTCTTCTTTCATCACCACTCCAAGAGAAAATGAATTAAAAATCAGAGCAGTTCACTGAATCTGTTTATTGAAGGGCAGCGAAACTGGTGCAATGCAAGAATGAACAAAATTGGCTTTGTTGCTAGTGAAAGAGTAGTGTGTATTTGACTTCTCCCCTTTCATTGCTCTTGAATCTGCTGTAGGAAGCTAGGGAAGAAAAACGTGGATTTCCTTGACTACATGCTGCAACTTTCTCTGTTTCCTTGCATCCCAGCTATCTGCAGGGGTCCTTCCGGAGAACAAACTTCTTACTCAGTTATTTCTGTGGTGTGTGCACAGGGGGCACACTTGGCATGGGGAAGGAGGAGGATCACATTTGTCATCTACCTTTGATTTTTATACTAATCTATGACACATTTTCCTGCAGCAGACAGAGGAAGGCTGTCATTTAATGTACTGTCCATGCTAGTTATGTTACCTCTTGTGTTTTTCCTGCCCCACAATTGAAAATAAAGATTTTTTTAATTTTTTTTTTTGGTTTTTGTCCCTTCAAGGCCTATTATAGGTCCTGCATTACCTCCCGGCTTTAGAAAACCTCCACAGGACACTGGGAATAGCAGATGTTCCATAGGGCCATCTGTTTCGTCGGAATTACATACCCAGGTTTGTGAAAACAGAAACCTTTTGTTTTAATACAAGCTATCTGAAATGCTTAAACAAGTAGGAGCCTGAAAAAGTTTACTAGACATACTTCTCAATGACAGTTTAATTTTAGACCAGAAAGTGTCTGGCATGTTTTTGCCTGAGTCAAATACTGAAACATAAACAAGCCTTAAAAAAGAAAAAGGCTGGTCTGGTTTGTTGTGGTTTTGCTGTTTGCCATAGTGCACTCAATGAACACAAGAGATGTAGGCATCCTAAACTGCAGTCACAGTAATATTTCCTAGAGCTTTTTAAATTTCTTTTGGTATGATGTCCTTCACAAGTGAACATCTTGGCAAAGTTCACATTTTTAAAGGTGTGAAAGAAGTAATGCAACCTGTTAAAATGAAAATATTTACCTGTAATTCAAGCTTTTACTCTATTGCTGATGGGGGAGCAAAATGATTGAATATTTCACATATCTTCACCTTGTTAAAAATGTTTATTAGTGGATGTGTTAACTAAGTGTATCTGAAAGAATGCAATCAGGAATGATGCCACAATGTCACTACTTGTTCCTATCAATAGCAAGATGATACCTGTAACTGGGAGTAAGGTGGAGCAGGACAGTGATGCTGACACAACTTTTTGGTTCATGGTTTTTGAGTGTTCTTATCAGGTTAGGTGAAAACTAGGTAGAAGTCCTATAGCTGATAAGCCGTAGCCACAAAATAGTGCATCTGCTACTAAAGAGCATTCAGGATGAAGTCATGTTACGAAATACAGCCAGAAGTACGGGGAAGATTCAGCTCCATAAACAGGGGCCTCTAGCACAGTTCCAGAGGATCTGAATTGTCTGCAGCAGTCCGGCAGATAGGTGGTAGCACCTTAGAGAGAAGCCTGCATCCTCTTGAGCAGCACCTCTAAAGCCATGCAGGATGCCCTAAGACATCAAAAATGGTATTGAATACTAGCATTTAGGCAAATGAGTCTCTCTCATGCTATGATAAACTAAATATTAATTCCGTGTGAGAATTCAAAGTTATTCTGTTTATTTCTAAAACACATTTTAAAGTTTAACTCCCAGCCACTATGGGACATGTTAGGAAGGAATGAGGCAAAGGCTGCTCTGGAACTTCAATTTTTTGGTTAGTATTTGTGCAGTGCATCATTCTCTAGCCTCCTACAACAAAGTGTTGTCATAATCCTTCGTGAAGAATGATTGTCTGACATTTTTAAGATACTCATCGTCTTGCAACTCCAAATAACAGTTAAGCAATTTATCATAATGACAAATTTCTTGAGGCAGGCATGTTAAAACTGGGCTGCTTGTATATTTTGCAAACATAAAGGTCTCTCTTAATCTTTAATAGATCTAGCATCAGCTTTGTTACAGCTATTACAGAACTTAGCTTACTTTTTTTTTTTCTCTTCCTAATAATACTTTATCTTTTACCTTTGAATATGAGGGTGGTTATTTATTTTTATTTATTTATTTTGTATTGTAGCACATCTTTAGAAGCAGCTTATTCCATGCTGACTTTTCACCTTGTATTGATTTTCCCTTCAAACTTGAAGTCAGTATTTTTTAATCTTTGTTTAATTTCATCTTGTTTGAAGCGGGTGGTAATGGAGTGAATTGAACTTCAGACTAATGAGAAAGGAAATGAAACACACTTCTTCAATTAAGACTCAGCATGAAATTTGTCTTTCATTCTCAACTACTTCACACTACAATTTATTGTGAAAGTCTTATGTATTTGCATTTTTTATTTGTGTGTACACAGAAGAAGGAAGTGTTTTACTACCTTGGTTTCTCAAGATGGTTCTTCTTCTTCATCAGCTCCTTCTTTAAAAAGAGAGAAAATACAGTCATCCCATTCTCTAGAAGTTGAAGCAATATTGCAGTGATAGATAATCAGTGAAAGCTTGGCTATGTAACCGTTTTTGAGAAAAATGATGAGAGGAACTGGTATTACCATGTTGCATTGATGGTGGTTATAAATGAGCAGCTGTTTATCACCCTTCTCAGTCTTTCAGATCCGTTTCATGCAGCTGGTCATACAGCCATTAAATTTGCTAAGCCTCTTCTTGCACCTTGTGATCTACAGCCACATGAAGCTGTGGAAGTCTCTGGAACTTGCCTTCCTCATTCATTGTACTTCTGTTGTCTCCAAAAGGCAGGCAGGGCCAAATGGCTTGGCCAGCTTGGAGCAGTGTTTCTGTGGCAGATGGCACACAGAGGAGTGAAGTGGCTTATTTCACTCCTCCTGTCTTCCTTAGCCCAAATCCCTCCAGCAGAGGGATGACAGCTATGAGCAGCCTGAAGTATTAGGCTAATACTCTCGCTTGTCCTCCATTCCCCATGTTCCAGTTAGGTGACTCTTCCAGTAAGGTTCTGTACTCCATTAATGTATCCTCCACTGGGTTTACCTTTGCCTCATAAGCCTTATTTTACATAAAAGGCTACTGATACTGTTCTTTCACTGCTCATCACTCTTGAGTCCTTATATTCTCTGATGGTGTCCTATCTTGATTCTAGATGCCTACCAGATAACCAAAGTTCGGCATGACAAAAGCAAGCCATTCCCCCAAAACCATCTTCCATTTGAAACTTCTCTACCATCACCTTATATTCCTGAGTATGCAGCCTTGTCCTCTTCCCACTGCTATTACTTTATCACCCATATTCAGGCTGTAGCTGAATCTTTTCACTTTTGTAGATTTTGGGCACCTCAGCTTTGCTTCCAGGGCACTGTGGTGTCACCATTTCCTATCTAGTTCTGCCTCTGTCCACATCTGTGCTGTTTTAACTTGGAGGGACCTGTGAGTTCTCAGTACCACCTCTGGCATCCATAAAGATTCCTATTAACACCTAGTCCCTCTCAAAGTTTGTTTTTTTGGAGCTATTCTCCAAATAATTGCTTAGAAAGCAATGTCGAAAGGGTTTGAAGAAGTGAATAACAGAAACCAGAGGTTAGACCAGCAGATGACTATACACTCAGGGGTGTAGTACCATGCGTGTCACTGTGCTCTACCTTGCATGTAACTCTTTCTAGCATCCTTACCGAATCTAAGCTCTAGACAGTTCTTGCAGTGAGAAATTGTGATCCTTATTCCAGAGATGCATCCAAATGTTGCTAGTGATGGTAAAGCCCGAAGTATCAAATATGTATGCTTGTGTGTTTCAACTTTACCTAGGGCTACGTGGCTGCATTCAGAGCAACATAAAGTAGCAGGACTTTGCCACTGTGTTTACCAGCTGTTTTGCTTCAGACAAGAGATGGTGCTGTTGGAAACATGGACACTAAGTATCCGTGTTAAAGTGCTAGAACAGGTCCAATCTGGAGTTTTCATCCAGGTTTTTGTTGTCTGACTGGCAGATGCGTTGTGTTAGGTTTATAAAATCATTCTAATCCTATGAAGCTTAAGTGTTTCTTGATGATCTTAGAGCTGTGGTTGAGAGAAATGCTTTATTTTTGGAAGGTAACAGATAGCAGTGAGGAAGAAGACGATATTATAGGCCCAATGCCTGCAAAAGGACCAGTGGAGTCTGATGTGACTAAAGAATTCGAACGCAGAGCTCAGAGAATGAAGGAAAAACTTACTTCAGCAGACAGCGTAAGTTGCATTTCTTAATTTCTAGTATTTTGTTGCTGGAGTCTATTTGTCTTTGCCTATTTCTGTGTGAACCCAGTTGCAGCTCTGCTCAGGACACTAAATGTTTGAAGAAAAGCCCATGATTTCTATTGGAAGCTAAGAGATTCAGACAGCAATTCTTGATTATGCTTTTTTTATTCTTCCTTTACTCTTTCATAAAGGATGAACCCAAACAAATTACCAGGGAATCATGGATGACAGAGCTTCCACCTGAATTGAAAAGCTTTGGATTTGGCCCAAGAACGTTCAAGAGAAGAGCTGATGACAAATCAGGCGATAGATCTATTTGGACAGATACTCCAGCTGACAGAGAGAGAAAAGCCAAGGTGAGCGTTTACTCATCCATGTACACCTGTGGACAGGATGTTTGTTGTTGATACTCTGTGATAACAAAGTAAAGATGCTCTGAGCTGGTCAATTAATTTTATTTTTTTTTGAGCTTATCCTTTGTTTCCAAAAGTTACTAATTCAGGCTTAAAGGTAAAGGCAAGGAAGTAATGATTTTAAGTAACATTAACACTCATTTATTCCCTCTTCCTTCTGTAGTAGTCAGGTACTCTGTATCAGCTCATTGAATTTTCAATTACAGTGTGTTCAGTTTCTTTTATCAAGCTGGGCAAAAAATATCTGGTGGCCTCTATTGTGGCCTGTAATCTTCAGATTTAATTAAAGTAAATATAGATTTCCTTGCTTCTTACTTCAGACATTCTAATTACTGTAGCATGTGATTTGCTTCTACTCATCAGGAAAGAGAAGAGGCAAAAAAGTCGTCCATTAAGGATGATGAAGAAATCGTGTTATCTGGGAGAGATAAGAGACTTGTTGAGCAGGTGACTTCATACAATGTAAGTGTGATAGCAAAGTACTTCCTCTTCCTGCATTTCTTTTAATTCTTCACACTTTTCTTCTGGTTCTCATTCCTAGCACTGCTGGTTTCCATGGTGATGCTACTACAGTCTTCCCTTTTAGTGCCCAAACCTACTGCTGCTTAAGTCATTAGAACATTTGCCATTGACTTCAACAAGAGCAGGATCAGGTCTGCTGACTGCTGGTGAAAACAGTGTGACAGAATTGGGGTTTGTGTGTATTGGCTCGGTTTTAGGTGGGTTTTCCTTAAATCATCCTCACATTAGGACATGGTTGCTGGGAATAGACAGTCTTCATTCAGGTATTAGCTTGCATTCCAGAAATAAAACAGTAATAAAGGTTTAACTTCTAGGACAGAATACACATTAACGCAAAACAAGCTTGATGGGCTAAGCAGATCAATGCATTAATTATGCTACTTACTTAATTACTTTAGCTGCTCATCACAACAACATTATTACTTTTCCTCAGTCTCTGGAGAAGCAGATAATCTTCACAGACCAGTGTTGGTTACTAGAAATCTGAACTCCATATCAACTTCCCTCTCACTTTTCTGTCTGCCAGCCCTCTCCACTAGAGAATATGGACTGTTGCCTTACAGCTGTTTGTTCCTGTTCCTCCCTGATTTAAGACCTGATGTCTTGGAATCATAGAATCATAGTCTTCTGGAAGTCAGTCTTGTCTCTTGAGAGTATAATTCTTGAGAATCACAGCCTTATATTACATGATTGAAGTTTATCTGGCACTGTTAATTGTCATTCATTAAATCACATGTCCCTTTTGACTTCGAGGCTGTCAAACCCAGAGCTATTAGCATACTGCCTTAAATTCCTTCTGTATTGTCTGTTTCCACTGTCATTCTGAATATAGTTTTCATGTAAAACTATGGGATTTGCTCTGTACCACTGCCAGAACAAAACATATATATAGGCCTTTCCTGTTTCTAAGGTTGATGGACTTCTCTCAAAAAAACAAAAAAAGGATCGAAGAAGGCACTTTAAGAACCATGTTTCTCAGGTTGTTTTGTTGTTGGTTTGGTTTTTTTGCCTTTTGTTTATTTGACTTAAATGAGTGTTCTTCTGATTTCAAGTGCTTGGTTTTGTTTGTTGGGTTTGTTTGTTTTCTTTTAAAGTTTTTTTCCTCTATTCTTTCCTATTTCTTTCTCCACTGACCTTTATCAAGGATACTCTCATAGAACAGGAGCTTTAATTCTTAAACTGGTTTCTTACAGTTAATTCTTTCAGCACTGCTGCCATATACATTCTCTGGTGCAATGCTGTCAACACTGATGCAGTTACACCAGGAATAAGTATTACCCATTTTCTGTTTTCATTTCTTATGCTATGTATGAATTATTATTTGTATGTGGGACGAAGGGTTTGCACAGGGAGTGAGGGAAAGCGAACCTTTGGAATAAAGATGTCTTGTTCCTAGATGTGAGGAAACAGAGCTGCTCACCTTTTGCTCTTTCTAATGAGAGAATTGGTTCACATTGATCTTTTGGATGGTTTATAATGATTTTGAGAGTCTGAGAAATTGACTGCTATGAGATACACAGATACACTTAGGTAAAGGAGGGGATGCATAGCCTTGTGAGAACTATCCTGCTCCTGTGTGAAATAAGCACAAGTTTTATGCCATATTTGAGCTGGATTGTGCTCTTTAATAAATGCAGCTGAAGTCCTTGACTTGGCAAAACATGTGCTCTAGCTCAAACGTGTGACTTTGTCCTGTAGGCTTGCCACAGGTAATTCAAGTACTGAAGAGGGCACACTTTAAAAACACAACAGCACTTGAGAGTAAGATTGAAAGGGTATCTAGCTTGTTCCTGCCCCTAGCAGTGACTAAATGCAGATGCTTGGTGAAGTGTATCAGAAAACAGCCTGCGCTCTTGACGTGTTGTCTTCATTTGTCTCTGCTAGTAATGGCAGAGCAACTTTCATATTTCTTTTGCATTGTTTTTATAATTTATCTCCACTGTCTGCATAGATTCAACATCATCATGGGCATCTTCAACGTCAGTGGATTATTAGTGTTTTATTCAGTGTAGACAAAATTACACATACTTTCTGCTCTCTTTTGTATGCTAAATGTATCATTCTCTTTTACACTTAACTAAGCTGTCATCTTTTTTCTGGAATTTTTAGCCTTCCTAATTCCAATCTTTTCCATTTGGATTTTCTGTCAATATTATATAATACCTCACGTTCTCTTCCTTCTTCCTGTTTTTCCAGGAGTCAAAGAGGTCAGAATCCCTGATGGACATACATCAGAAAAAGCTGAAGAGCAAGGCATCTGAAGAAAAGAACAAACCTCAGGAAAGAAGGCCATTCGACCGAGACCAGGATCTCAAAGTCCATCGGTTTGACGAAGCACAAAAGAAAGCTCTTATAAGAAAATCCAGAGATCTGAATAGTAAATTTGAGCACAGTAAAGGCAATATGTTTTTATAACATAAAAGCATGAAGCTTTTTTGAAGTCAGTGAAACTTTGAATACTTAATTTTTTAAGTATTTTCCTGTAAATATTTGTATGCAAAATAAATATCCTGATGTTTAATTATTTTTCCTTGTCTGTAAATACTCTGTTAGGGAGGATCATCTGCACTAAAACTAAACTGGTAAAGGAAAATCCTGGTATAAAAAGGTAGTGTAAATTTGCTACTTTGAAACATTGAGACATATATTTTTTGCTAGCATAAAAATACTTACAATAGGTATTATTTTAAGGAGCTCTACTTTGATTCTTAGAGTCCTTTAGCTCCTGTATGTATGTGAAGAAGCTGAAGGGAGAACAGTGTTACTTATTTAAAATTAGACTTGCATTTACATCCTTTTTCTCTTGAGTAATACTTGGGATTCTTTTTGAGGAGTTACTGAGAGTATCTGTGCATGAAAGTAATTTTATATGAGAGATGCTGGCAGCTTTTTTGTAAGTGGAGGCTTACTGTCATTTGTAAAAAGGCTACCGTGGTAGATGGTGTCTGGGTTGATTTGTGTTAATGGAGCAGTGGCCTAATGAGCCCCAGAAATAAGTGGCTAAAAGCTTGGTCTTATTTTATTGCACGTGTGCGTGAGCCCAAGGCACAGCCTCCATGTGCTGCAAAGTCTTGGAGAATTTTCAGTATTGCAAATCAGTGATTACATAAAATACATGCAGGTTCTGCACTTTTTTGAATAGACAATTCAGTTTGCCATCAGAAAAATCTGCTGCCTTCAGGAGGAAGAGAGGGCTGGCTTTGTGCTGGGTTTGGTTATAATTTAATTGACTTCGAGTTCCTGAGCCTTTCCTCTTTAAGGCAAGAGGAAAGTTTAAACAAGTGCCTTTTGGTTTTCCTCCCCCAAAACAGGCTTCTTTTAGTACCCTGAGTTTTTTTAGCCCAGCAAGCAAGGCCTCGCTAGGTTTTTACCTTGTGTGTTGTTGCTTTCCCCTTTTTGGGAGCTCCTTTACAGCTGGGCATCAAATAACATCTCAGCAATTCAGGAAATGTAGATTCCTGAATTGGAAAAGCAATATTTGGGGGGTTTTAGGCAACTAAAGCAATGACAGTGTAAGCATCACGTGACTGGCTAAATCTCCATGGTTGACAAAAATGATCCTCACGCCCACTTTTGGAAACCCTACTGCCTTGAGAAATCAACTATCAGGCATTGCCTTATGCTGAAAGCTGCTCTCATGAGCACATCATGCAGTTCAGACGTCATGCATCACTCTTTCAGACAAGTCTGTAGCAGGCGTGAGGGCTATCTGTATCAAGATTTTGTTGCTGTTACATGCTGTGTTTCCATTTTTGTGGTTTAGTCTCACCCCCTCCAAACTGAGTACTGGTCACCAGATGTGGCAGATGGCCAGGCCTTGCCCTCCAGCTGTATCCCTGCTGTCTGCTCACTGCCCTTCCTGGCCCCATCGTGGTCTCCTGCCCTCTCCAAGGGTGCGTTGGAGTGGAGGCTCTGTGGTGTTGCTAAATAGGAGAGCTGTAGTAACGGGAGTGCAGGCAGATCCTTCGCAGCCATGTGGCACTAGGTTACGCCTCCTTGTGTGCGATGTGTGGTTCTAATTAGCGAAGCCCTGATGTGAGTTGGGAATGTGTTTTCTCTCATCTGCTTCATCTTTTTTCTCTGCTCTGAAGCAGCCTCTCAAAGACTCTCTGTTACGAATTTGAGATAGGGGGAAAATGGAATTGTTGAGAGTTCAGATTGAGCTTTTCATTACGTTGTGTAAATTGAGTGAACTTTTGAATTGCATTAATACATAAACCAATCTTTTTTACTGATGCCAAACCATTCCCTCCAACAGTCATTAGCACAAGCAATAACTCAGTAAATTACAAGCTCTGTAAGCTTTTGTGGGAAAAGATGAGCTGTCCTCTACAATTTGGACAAGCTGTAAAGCATTTCTGCAGAAATGTTAGTGGTTGATTTTTCAGAATCTCATTTGAAAAACCAGAATTTACTTCAGAGAAATTCCTCCCCATAATTACTATGTAGTGTTGCTGCTAACCGGCTCCCGACACAGACTTAATGGATTCTATTGCTATGCTGTGCTGCCAGCCTGCGTCGCAGCGTATCGACTCCAGGCACATCAGGAAACTCAGTTTTGTCAGGGAGGCTTTCCCCCATGCGAGAAGCCCGTCGGCCTAGATTTTAAAGTGCTTGCCTTTGTTTGTGCTGGCACAGGCATCCTCTGTTAATACTGACAGTAAAAAATTCTGCTCAAGAGTAGGGTCCCCTCCTTCTGAAATGTTAAATAGGTGTGGAATTCATAGTGAATTCCATAAAAAGAAGGCTTTTGTGGTAGGCATACGATAAATTGGTTGTTTCATTTCAAGGACTATTCCATGTTAATAACAAAAAATTTAACCCTGTTGAGTCTGCTTTTACAAAGGAACAATTAAAAGCAATAAAGACATAAAGAGAGCTTACTGATTTCTTTGTGTGTGTCTTCAGGACAAAATACTGAGCTACCATGATGTTTGATCTGGAAAATTTTCTTGGAATATAGTATTGCAATACCGTCACCTGAGGAAAATCTCAGCTCTCCTCATTTAAACACCTACTTATGGAGACTTATTCTTTGCTTCTGCTGTTGCAGGCAATGGATGCACTGTATGTGTGGTGGTTTTCCTGGATGAGGTGTTTACCAAATAATAAACGGCAATAGAATGCATTTTATTTAGGGCTTTGGTAGTTAGCTATCATGTTGATAGCACAGAAGTGGCATTGTCAAAACAGCCTTCTCTAAAGAAACGTTGAGATGAGACATTGAGATGTTTCTCTCTAGTGGGAAAGGAAGTTTTCTGCATAAAAGAAGTTTTGACATGCTCCAGGAGTCCGGGGCTACCCGTGCTTTTGGGGACCTGTTTTGTTTCTGAAATGTAAACTTTGTTATTTCTTTCCAATTATAAATTGTATGTTGATTTAAGAGTAATTCAGCATTAAAAATCAGAATCTGAGAGAACTTTCTGTATGTGCATCCTTAACTTCAGCTGCCTCGCTTACAGTGCATTTGGTTTCTAGTTGTGCGATTACCTCATTCTCGAATGAATTCATGCATGTGATTTTCTGTCCTTATGAACAGTCTGCAGTGTTTTATATGCTGGGGAAAAAATCATAAAGTTATGTGGTGTCTTCCAGCCACCAGCTCTGGATTTTTCTCTAATGAAGATGGTGTCCTGTTAGCTGAACTGAGTGACAAATGTTAGTGGAGGGCCCCATTGTGCGCCTGTGAAGCGCATCTTCCTGATGCTTTCGGCTCTGGCAGCCAAATGAGAAGCGGTGTCTCTCAGCAATAACTCCCCTACGTGTGGTATTTCTGTTATTTTCAGTCACAACATGAACAGAGTTATTACCTGTGCAGAGCTGGTCTTTTCCCAGCAGCCACGTTACAGTGGCCATCATGGCAATAAGCAAAAGCCCATTCTCCATCATCCCATCTTTGTCTCTTGTTCCAATCATCTGTTTTCTTACACTGGTCTTTAAACCACTAATAAATCTCATTGCTCGTTGAAATTATACACATTTTGAATCTGCTTGGCAGATCAAGCCTTATTTTAAAAACCACTCGTGCAGAGTGGGAACTGAAGGTCTCTAGGAAACAGCAGCACAGACTGTCA